TTCCGTGATCAAGGGTGAGAGTTACGAGATTCTCTTGCGGATTTTTACAGCGATGGCAGGGAATAAGGCATGGAATAAGAACCAGGGCTCTTATACGTAGTTTTATGCTCTGAGCTAATGGAAAAGGTGAGTTTTTCAGGGTCAAAAACAAGACTTCTCGCGCTAGTTGTACGCGTAAGCTTTGCGTTTGTTCTGTAAAGAAAAGCTATTTAAGAAAATTCTTTACTCTGCTTAATCGAGTTAATTTGTGAGTTTTCCAAACAATGCTTAATCATGGCCAAAACCTGTTTTTGATAGTTTCTTATTGTTTGTGCTTGTTTGGCAAGTTTTCAAAAGTTTTTGAAAGGAAAGTCGCGTACAAGTAGCTCATTTGCATAGCGCAGCGCGTTAAGTCCGAGTCGGTGTTTTCAATTGTCAGCAAATCTTGACAAAGATTTCTTTCGTTGTCTTTTGTGCTGAGATACTGCAATAATTTTCGCCAACGCCAAAAGGCTACTAACATCATGTGTGTTTCTTTAACATTGTGAAATTTTACACTGCGAAAATAAAATAGACATGGAGCTTTGATAATTCAACCAACAAAATCGAAATCGTTATTCGAGTTGATTAAAGAAAGGGTCATTGTAACTCTGGTGATTATTTCTGCTGCATTCACATATTTTCAGTTAAGCTTTCAATATGTTCTCAAACATTTATCAACCTTAAACATATTTAAAAACTAGAGATATTATATGAGTTCGATGTAAGTTTTCACACGAAAGTACGGAAGTCCAATTTGTCATGTTTTACTGACTGTACAAAACACGCACCGGCGCGCGCTCTTATTCATCGACTACAGACAATTTATTGGATTTTTACACAAACAAAACTGAGCAGCATCTACAGACATAAAATTATTGGGCCTTGATGAAACATCAAGCGTTGCTTACATTTCAGGCGAAACTCAAACTTGCAATTTTTCTGATTATTATTATATTTTTACTTTTCGGTCGCGATAGACTCAGGCGAAATTCTCGCAAGCGTGTGACAAGAGGAGCCGTGAAACTTTGAAGTCCTGAAACGCTGCTGTATCCAAATATATCCCACTAGTTTTTTGCTGTGTTATGGAAAAGCTGTTAATCTTCCACATATGGGAAACTTAGAGTGGAGCAATGTGGAGCTCTTGTAAAAGAAGCAGCGGAACACAACTTGATCAGTGATATAAAGTGGGACATGACTAAATTCGACACTGTCTTACTTCACTCAAACTGGAACAGCTTACGACGAAAATACTGAAGTAAAATTCCAACAGACATAAACGTATTTAGTTGTGGGCCAAAAGCATCAAACATTTCGGAAATTTCGGACGCCATTTCCCCGCGCTACATCCGGGAAAATCCCCGCAGCATGTACGCGCGTGTGCCGCACATGATGGCGCAATTTGTTCTAAAAATAGAAAAATTGTTCCATATTATAGGGACAGCCCAACAATAGAAATGGCGCGCGCGCTTACGGTTCCCGCCCCCGATTATGGCTCCTGAATTAAATCAATACCCTGTTTCAGTGCTGTTTTAAAACTAGTTTCCGAGTTCAGACCGATGTTGAAGAGCTTTTGTTGATGGCCTTGTCTACATTAGAGTAAGTAAGTGAACTGAATCTTCAAAGCTAACTCTCGAAAACCGCAAACACTAGTTCAAAATAGGTCGAAATAGCAAAAAAATTAAAAGTCAAGTCTTTGTTACATCACGTTTGAATTCTTTTAGAAAATGGCAGCAAAATTTCGAAGACTCAGTCAAGGATTCGGAAAGGAAAAACGAAACCGGGTTTCTAGCCAGGACAACATGCTGGAAGAAAGAAACCCATCAACAGCAGGCATAAACAGATTTCCAAGCACTGATCACTTCCATTTCACTGGCGAAAATAATCCTGGTGCTGCACCCAGAAAGAGAGCATGGACAGAGTCAATAAACATGTGTGATGAGGGTAATAAGCTCACTGAAGATTGGATGAAAGATTGGCAGGTAGGGTTAAAAAGGTCATTAAGAAGTATTAATCAAGCTTCGATTTTGTAAACTTGCACATGCTAACGTTTGGGTCGCGCCTGCCTCACGCGTGAGCACACGCGAGGGTTGAAGCCACGAGAAGTAGGAGCGAGGGGAGGAAAGGCCGCTCTACATTCGACCAAAATGTAGATTTATTTCCGGAAATTTTAAGTGGCGAATGTAGCAGCATTTTCGAGAATTTCCGGGCAAGCAGACAAACTGGTGAGGTGTACCCAAATTTTCGATAATTTCTTTCAAGAAGTTTTCGGACCATTTCAATTGGGTTTGCTCCCATTCTGATGGTTCAAC